GAACGCTGTAACCTGAGGAAAATCTCCTGTGTAGATCGAAAACGTTTGTGTTTGCATTAAAATCTTCTGGAATTGTACTTTTAAGGTTCAGAGATGTGCTGTTTTTATGATATATATCATTATATCGGACAGAAATATATGATTAATTTTACATTACTAGTTACCAACGACCCAGATAAAGTAGCCATTTTGTAAAAATGCAGCGTAGACAACGAAAGCTCGATAGAAAGGGGCGCGAGAGGGGAATCCCCGCGTTAAGTGTTTATTTTATCACTTGCAACGAATAAATCAGTTCGGCCTAGGACAAACTAGTTTAGCCTAAAGTATTTAGGCCAAACTAGATTGTCCTAGGCTAAACTAGTTTATCCTGACACGCGTAGGACAAACTAGTTTGGCCTAGGATAAACTAGTTTGGCCTAAAATCGGGTTTGGCCGGTAACATATATATAGATAAGATTGCATGCCAAATACCTCATCCAGTATTTTACAGGACTGACGCTAAGAAATGTATTCTATGCGCTTACATCTACGCAGTGGCGTAGCGTGGGTGTCAGCCGCCCGGGGCGGAGGAAAATTTCGCCCCTCCCTTATTTAGGTATTTCAATTTAAAAGACTAAAATTCAGTTTTGTCACAGAACAAACAATGAAATATTCTGTTTAAAATAGCTCTATTGGATAGTGGTGGTGTATATGAATGCGAATGAATCGTACAAGCAAAAAAAAAAAAAAAAATAGTAAACAGATTGCGCAGGGTATCTTCGGATGAAATTACTAGTTCACGGTCCGGACGGTGAGCCGATTCCCGGACTGTCCGGTCGTAGGCGCGACGCAAATATAGATTAGAATGGTTCAAATTTTTACAAGATATTATTTTTATTTATTGTGAAATTTTGCCGCCCCCTAAAAGGTAATTTTGCCGCCCTTTAGGAGGCGGCAAAATTACCTTAAAGTGCGCCCGGGGCGGGCCGCCCCCGCCGCTCCTACTACGGTACGCCACTGCATCTACGCCATTTATTGATAAGTGTTGTTGGTACAGATTTTTAATTGTGCTTATCGTTACAAGTAACCAGTTAAGACTATTTTCTCATTCTGAATATTTATAACAGTTTTTTCAAAAATCTTTGAATTTCTTTTTAAAAAATCTCAAAAATACTTTATGTAAGCGTTAACTTGACCTTCTCCTTGAGTAAACAATCACAACACATACTTTTATTCCTCTTTCCCCTGATCGTGCCTATTTTTGTGTAGTCAATAGTAACATTAGATAATGGCCATTCAACTATTACGTACGAATTTGACGAGAAAGGAGAGTAAAAGAATATGTTATAATTGTTTACGTGGGTAAGAAGGTCAAGTTAATGCTTACGTAAGATATTTTTAAAAAAGAAATTTAAAGATTTATAAGATAAGAGTATAAAAACTTGTTATAAATATTTACAATATTTGTACGTTAAAAAATTACATAATAGATGATTGTCCAATATCTTGTGCTACTATTAGCTACACGAAAATCGGCGGGATCAGATATATACTGCTTAACCTAAATGTTTGGAATATGAATCTATCATTATTTTGTGCCCAAATAATTGAACAGCATGTTTTAAATATACATTTATAAATGCAGTTTATTATCCAAAAATGCTTAATTTTGAGTTTTATTTTTAAAAAATCGTAAATATTAATAACCAGTAAAATCTTTGTTAAGTCTGTCCCTACTCGAGATATGACACTTGACTCTCTCTATTTCCTCACCCCGCGACCTTTAACTACCAAAATTTTATTTCCCCTTGCTCATCAATCCTTTAATACACAATCATCCCTGCAAAATTTCAGAAATTTTCAACGCCAGGCACAGGAGTTATTAAGCTTCAAATTGGGTGAATAAAATCGTGCCCCATAAACACACACATATACGTACATACATATGAAAAACCCTCAAACTTTTTTTTATTTCTTGACGTTTCAAGATCCTCTGAGTCTGAAAATGCAAAAATCTTGCCATAATTTTCCTCTATTATACATAATAACCGGGAAAATAAAATGGTAGTTGAAATCATATCACATAATTTAAATAATATACTTTCAGCTTCAATAGTTTATTTTTATAAATAAACGAGAAGACCAAAACTAAAATATTGGATATGATATTTGATTCCCTTCAACGTCTTAAACATTGTCTAGTGAAACTGTTTAATTAATACAGTTGAATAAGTAAGCCAATGGCATCGTCCGTTTCAAATAAAACGAACTAGGTAATTGGTTCGCTTATCTAGAAGCTATTAAAGCCGCTTAACCAGACAACGCTCCCATTATGTATGGATTAAAGAAATCCGAAAATAATATATAATTATCTGCTTGAAATTTTTATTCTTATTTTATATTTTTAGATATAAAATCGCGTTATAAATGTAAATAAATAAAACAATACTTTTGAACTATTTTGACACAGAATAAAAATATATCCTTAACTCATATACGTAAATAATACAGTATTATCAAATAAATACTGTATTAAATTTCCATGGGTAGTTTACTTTTATTTTTCGTCACCAGATGGTAGCACAAAAATTGTAATTTTCGGGTTTATAATTGTTTATAAAATTCTACATTTTTTGTAAATACAGTATAAAAAAATGTAATTTAAAATAATTACAAAAAATGTAAATAATATAAATAATTCATATGAATTAAAACAGCATTTTATGTAATCAATGCTAATCGAATTCCAAAACTAAACATATCTCGTGTTTTGTCTCGTGTAAGAATATGTAATACAGAAGCTATGTGTTATCTATCTGTTTCCGTGTTTAGAATGTGTGCCCTATTAGAATGTGTCATAATATTGTAAGATAGATAATTAAATAGTTCTCTGACTACTATTAAAAATTCAAAAAATATTTTATTCACAAACTCCTTGTTATGATAATATAGGCCTATAAATAAACCTTTTATTTATTAATGAAGATTTTAAATAAACAGAAAAGACAGTTACAGTCATTATCCAAAAAAAATGGCGGCTTTACAATAATTTAAAGATTATCAGATTTGTTTTTTCAAAATAGATAAAGGAACGTTCCGCTTAATTTTAAAAACCATACGCACTCCTAATTAATATGCGCTTAACCTGTTCCTTGTAATTTTCATACTAAATATTGCGTCACTCCCTTTTTTTTATGGCAATTTCCGAAGACAAATCTGTTTGGACTATCGATAGGCCATCGTACAACACAGACTTGGAACCTTCGATGTAACAATTATAGAAAGGGGTGGAAAGTCTCGATAGATGTGCGATAATTTTTTAACGTGCCTCGGGCAAAAAATATCTAAACGTGATTCGTGGTAACAAGAGTAGTAGTTGTATTGGTAGTGGCTTCTTCGAAGGAAGCATTTACTAAAGAAATATGTACGGAAAAAATACGTAAAAAAGAGAAATTTATTTCTTGTTATGCCCTGTCCGAGTGTAAGAATAAACGTTTATCTTTCGCCTGCAGAATATTCGAATAAAAACTTTTATTTCGTATATCCGTTTAGTACGTTGTCCTAATTGATGCTCTACACTATTTCTTCCTTTTATTATGCAAACCGAATAGGATATATTTATAGTAGCCTTTCAGAAATAACTTCGAGTAATCGAAAGGAAGTCGTTAAAAAAATTCTCGCAGTTCGTCAAAGTACTTATTATATTATTATTAATTTTTTTATTATTATTATCGGGGTTCTCCTCTTTCATTTTAATCTTTTCCCTGTCTTCGGTTTTAAAAATACTGTTCTAAAACTGCGATTGAATATATTATGCAATTTAATAGGCAAAAGAAAAACTTCTATAAATATTTTCATTGATACTAATAAGTGCAGTATTTATGCTACGTATCTCTCATACTATAATAATTGTCTTATTCACGAAAATTGTTAGTTTGTTAATAAATTAGCAATAGAGAAACCGTTTTAATAAATGAATTTCTATTACAGTTATTTAAAAATGTAAGGCATTAATAATGAATTGCAACTTTCCTATGTTATTTACGTTAAAAATTAGGATAATGCTCTAGCATATCATAGGCTCTACCGGCCTAAATTCTAAAGATAATTATGTACTGTATTTAAATAAATTTAGGAATTTAGTTAAAATGTAAAAACTTTTGCAATCCTGATCTTTCAAATATGTATTATGAATATCGTATAAACATAAAACATTCGATTAAAAATGTACTGGAAACAAAGCTACAAGTTTTTAATATTAACAGTAATAAACCTATATGTTTTACAGTGTTAAAAAAATATGATTACAATAGAAACAGCCGTTGAGTTTTCTTAACGGATAAAATAATCAATCCGTTTTTATGTTCGGGGTTGTTTTTTGCTATATAAAAAATTTGTTTATAACTGTCATTGTTGGTCGAATACATAATTAATCAGTCCATTGTTAGTTCTGTCAAGTAAATAATTAGTCAGCAAAGTCGCGTCATTGTCGGTTGTACTGTGTGACTCTACAGCACCAAAGGATGTCCTTGGAGAATTTCGCAAATGTTAGAATGCTAGTGACCCGTTTCTAAGAAAACAAGCATATACGGGATGCACTTTTTTTGTTTGTTATTGTTTTAACATCATTAATCTTGCCAGGGTAATTTAGAACAATACGATAAGTTAGCTCACGAAACTAACATTTATGAAAAAAATAAAGATAAAAAATACTCCATCGAAAGTTTTATAAATTTATTCGCCACTTCTTTGACCCACTACATAAAAGAAATGTATTTTTTCCATACAATTTTTTCGTAAATATTTTTTAGAAATTTTAACTAAAAGATGGATTTAAAAAAAGAATATCATTTTAATAAAAACCGATATGGTTGAGAACATTGAGAAAAATAAAAAATATATAAAAATTGTTAAAATTTAGTTGTTGAACAATTGAGAAAAACTAAAACTCTAAATGACAAAACATCTTGGAACTAATTAAATAATAAAATTAAACTTATACATAAATATGAAATATTTTCTTAAAGAAGTAAAGAGTCTCTCAGATGTACGCAAACTTTATAAGGAATGGATGTTAATGAAGCAGCAACTTTTCCATTTAGTTCCGGAGGTTTTTCTCCGTCGGGAATTTCCACATGAAATTGGTGGAGCATACTCGAGAGAAACATAAACACTTCCATCTTTGTTAAAATATCTCCTACACATCTTCTTCGTCCTGTAAATGACATAAACATACTAAACTTTTATTCGTTTCAAACATTATATAACAGTAAAAATGAAGATAACTATTTTAAACCATTTATTATTATTATACTAAATGATTTTAACTATTCGTGATCTATTGTTTTATTATTATATCTAGTTATAAATTATGTAGTGGATAACAAATGAATAATTATTTTTTATTAAAAACCATAATATTATCTGTGATATACACCATTAAATCGTATGATAATCATTGTAATTACTCTTTAAGCATTTTCTCTTCTCCATAACTATTTTAAGAATTGTTGCATTTTGTTTGAGAAGCCATTTAAATTACCACTTACCAACAGAAAATGGCATAAAATAACTGGGAACGTGAACTTTTCCGTCTTGCAAAAAGCGTTCCGGTTTAAAAGTTTCGGGTTCTGGCCATAATTTTGGATCCATATGAACCGCCCATAAATTAGGGACTATGTGAGTACCTTTTGGAATTTTATAACCGCCTAATTCCGTTTCCCTAGAGATATGATACAAAATAAATAAACCATTTCATATAAAGTTAAGTGATAAAAATGACAAAAAACAAGCAAAATTTATTAACTGTAAAGTTGCATGAGCTGGACCAATTGCTACGACGTTGGCTCTTCTCATAATTTCCAATATCGTGGCTTCTGTATATGGTAAATTCGGAAGATCGGCTAATGTCGGAAGCCTCTCTCTGCCGATTTTCTCATCCATTTCTCTTTGAACCAGCTTCTGGACGTCTCTGTAGACCACCATATAGATTACAGACCATTCTAACAAAGTAGTGACAGTTTCCAAGCCGGCGCTGAACATATCGCCCAAAATCTGCAAGAGTTGTTGTTCTGGAAAAAATTTTAAATACATTTTTAAATACTAGAAATATAATTCTAGTAATACAGATAAATAAAACATTTAAGAAACGAGTTTAAAACTGTTTAAAACTCTTAATTGTCTATTAAAATCGTTTATTTAACTAAATTTTAATCGTGTTAATACCGGTATCCGGTTTCTGAACATTAGAACCTCTGTAAATGTTGCTTCTCGGTATAAAACCAGTGTTATGACACGAAGCTAGTAAACAGTAGTGTTCAAATATTTATAGTAGAAAGGAATTATTCTCACTCACCTGAAAAATAAGAAAATTTATGCTCTTCTTTAATTTTATTCAATCGAATTAAATACATATCGATAAAATCGCGAGCATTTTCGAAGTTTAGCGATTTTCGATGATCGTTAGCGACTTCTTGAAAATAAGATTCCGTTTCTTTTCTGTTTTTTTGCAATTTATAATACGGATAGCTGCATAAAGGAAAATATCTAAGCAGGGGTATAAAATTAACAGGGATGGCAATCGTTAGCAAGCGAAATCCTTCTTCAACTAAGTCTAAAAGTCTTGGGAACCGCGAATCTCCTTCGCTGTATTTGACACTCATCAGAAGCGAACCTACGACATTGCTGACACATCTGACTACTATTGAGCGAATATGACAAGTCTTTCCACTTTGATGAGCCAAATTCTTCAAGAACTTGTCCACTTCTTCCTAAAATTAATCGAAAATTATGTTAAAGAACAATTAATATGTATTATTTTAAAAACACGTGCGAAGAATATAGTTACTTTTATGCACTCCTCTAAAATTGATCGTCTAGGACCACAATTTTTGGCTCCAATTTCTCTCAGAGCCCAATGCAAAAATGCCCTTTGTTCTTTCCACAGAGCACCGTTGGAATTTACAATACCTGAAAAATAAATTGGATAAAGTTATATCTCAATAATTTATTTTAAAATATTGATAGTTACGGATTTATTATATTGAACAAAAAGGAATTCGTTTAGAACATAACAGAATTAATTATTTTTATTTTATAGAGTTCTGATTCATCTGAATTAATGTGGGTCTTGAAGGGGAGAGGTCCATGACCCCTAAGGTAAATGTCCTTGAAAGCGCAAAATCCAATCTTTCAAGCCGAAGATTTCCAGAATAATTGACATAAAATAGGCCAATATATACGTATAAATATGACATATTTATTTTAATTTATGGATTTATTATCGCGCATAAACTATTCACCAAATTAAAAAAAAAATTAAGTGTTAGGCATAAAATTAAAGAATATTATTAAATGAATTAGAATTAGACCTTAAAAATATATCTAGATAAATATATATATAGTGTAATTTAACTTACCGTAACCTTGGACCATTTTTGTAAGTTCTGTATTGGGACGTCCCGAGAAGACGGTTCTTCGAAAGGCATCTTTTATGAGAGTGGGATTGGAAACTACGACAACTCTCTTGCTCCCTAAATATAGTTGATATATGGGGCCGTATCGTTTAGACAGTTGAGTAAATTTTAAATGAAAGTTCGAACCGAGAAAAGGCAGATATCCCACTAACGGCAGACAAAAGGGTCCCGGTATTTTCGATTTCGTCCTATAAAAGTAACTGACGAGTATAAAAATGGTGACGAATATTAAGATGAGACGAAAATTAGCGAAGATGTAAGTCTTGAATAGATATATGCTCCACGATTCTATCATTTCGAGCGATGACTCGATACCCGTGTCAAGGAGTTGAAAGGGCCTTGGCCACACTGCAGCAACTGGTGGTGTTACCTATACCAACGACCCCTTATATAGGTCTGGAGACGACGGCAAAGGTTAAACTATGACGGTTTCCTAAAGACAGTTAGCCCTCGAGCACTGAATGTACGGTATTCTTAATAGCATCCGAATAGTTACATCTGAGAATTGAAACATTTTGATTGATTTTATGGTGATGCGCGCTTTATGGTTTTGCCACTTCTAATTACGCCTTGCTTAGAAAATACCTATTTGCATTTTATGCTTTAAGAGATAGAAGAATATATATTTTATTAAACTCTTTCGAAATATTTTATAATAGATAAATTAATAGGTTTGGTGTATTTTTTTTTTTATTTTGCCATAGATTAATGAAAAAGTATACGTTCTCCCCTTTTCAGACGAAGATTGATGATTAAAACACGGCTTTTCTACGGGATAAGAATGAGAACTCAAACAAGATTTTGACATTTTTAAATTATAAAGGTAATCAACTTTATAAAATAAATCTTTTCTTTATTAGTTTATAAATTTTATAATTTCATTATCAAATATAGACAATTTTTAAATGATAAAAAGCAGAAATATAATAAAGCATAATAGAAACTTATAAAAATCTAAAGTTTAAAATTAACAACTGTAAGATCGCAATATTATTATTGTTAAAATAATACAAAAATATTCGTTATAAATAAAATTATTCCAAATTTTATTTTATGCAGAATTTCCGATGAATTTATTTAACAAAACTGCATTTAACAATTTTTTTTTCTCTTCAATACATTAAAATTCTCGCCGAATTTTTATCTGAAAAAGTAAAGAAAAGAGCGTAAAACGCTAGTCAAATATTCAATTTACGCTTTTCATATGCTACATTTTAATGTTTAGTTGATATTTAGATCTTTTCTTACCGTAAAATATAATATATAACCGTAAAAGTAACATTTTCTCGATACGCGCTGTTAAAAAATGTGTAAACAATTAATTAATTTAACTAATATTTAGTTTTTTCTTTCTTTTTTTTATTCAAACGTTAGCGCGAAGACATCAATCCACAGCTTAATGCGTATCTGAAATATGCATTTATCAAAATGCAATATTTGGGATCGCATATCAGTTAAGAAGTTAAGGATTTTTCCATAGTGACATTGCACTATCTTCCAATCTTCAGACTAAAATGATGGGTGCCTCTTGAGGACTGGGTCAGCGACCTTTCCGAGTGGCCTCTCAGGGAATCTATGTCACGTCTAAATATCCGTACGAAGGGGGTAATTGGGGGAAATATTTCCGGATGTCCATTGTGATTTGCTTTTACTGATATATTCCCTGCAGACATCGTTTTTTTTCTTATTTTACTTCTTTCCAGTTGTAATTTACTAGAATATCATGCCGAACAATGGGATTAAAGGTTATAATGGATAATTTATGCTCGATTTATAAAAGCGGATACCATCCGTAGGCATTATATAATTAGAAATCGTTTTCTGTTGTTAACCTGTAAGATAAAACCACCATTACTAGATGAAATATGACGAAAAACTGTCAAAAGTAAGATGCATCTGAATAACCGATCAATAATTTTAAATTGATACTGTTTAATAAGCTTGCAATTGTTAAAGAGCAGGAGCTATACTGACTCAAAGAACTGAAAATTTAAAATAGTTAATGAATAAACGTTTTAAAAATAGAAAACAAAATTAATTTATATTTTTAAAAAAAGTGAAAAGTTTGGAAATAAACATAATAAGTAAAAACAAGAAATGAAAGTTTTTATTACCTAATGAATACAAACAATAGAAATATCATTAGAATTTCAATCGAAATTCAGGTTCACTATCTATAACTTAATTTTAAAAAATTTAGATAATCTAATATTAATAATAATCTAAGTTATAATTTTTTTATCAAAAAATAAATAAAATAAGTTATAGATATGAGAATTAAGATTTTAAAAGAAATTAAAATCTACATAACTGAAGAAAAGCTTAAAAACTTTCGGACTTTTTCGCTTTCGTTCCACTTAAAATATATGTATAACTATTGTAGTGTTTCTCCAAATTCATAAACTACAAGATAACTTGATGTTAAAACATCTAGTTTCATTAGTTTTAATTAAACTATTAATACATTATCAGTATTTCATTATTTAAAATAAATGATATGTTTGTAGTTATGTCCCTAATCCAATTTTGATTAGGCTGTTACTATTACTTTTTTTTTTTTTTTTTTGATAAATTCACAAACGAGTCATTAAATCCGAGTTAAAAAATTGAAGGTTGATTTTCTTATGTTATTAAAATAGCCAAACCGGAATTAAAATAAGATTTAGTGTGTAATTAAATGTTTTCCATCTTTTTGAATATCTGAATGGTGAAAATGTTTGAACAAAAGTTGTGTGTGAACATTTTATTTATTTATTTATTTTGGATTTAAACAATGCATTAACATGTATTACAATAGCTTTATGCAATGTAATTTGTATATTATATATATATATATATGTTCTATTTGATAATCGTAATTGGCATAAGCAAATTCGAATTTTCGCTATGGTTGAAGCGTCTCGATTCAAAAGGAATTATCCATAAAAAATATAGTTGAAGTGTTTTTATTAATTAATAAAGTATCGTACATTAGAAAAACGTAACAGATCTCAACTAGCCAATTAAAATTTGTTTATCAAAACGGGTAAACATAAAATGTAACTAAACTTTGTGACCAAAATGTTAGCGAGGCAGACACCAACTGACCTTGGATTCGACCTTAGAGGCGTCGAAATCAGATGGGTTGAGTGGTATATATCCTCACTTTTATAATAGGATGGGTAGGTCCTTCGACTGCTGCTTTTAAGTTTTTCCTTATCACCTGTTGCTATGTAAACCATGAATAGTGGCGCAATCATTGACTTTCCGGATGTATAGAGTCAGTTTATGATTTATACACGTGAGAGTTTTAAGGATGAGATTTTATGTTAATTGAATTTATAATGTGGTCCTTGTCGCAAACGTATTATATAAGAGATATTTATCAATGATCGTAACAGAATCTCATATTCCGTAAGATCCGAACTGGTAAATCTATTTACCTCTCGTTTTCTTTTAACGATCTTGATACTAGATGAGATAAGGATAAGGTAAAGGGTATAGTTATCAACATAAAATAGATGAATGATTTTCTTAAAAAACCAAATCGATTTATTTAACCGTGTAAATAATTTATAAATATTTGTATATTGTAATTTTAGAAAATGGTGTAATTAAATTTTCATCGCCCTTATACATAATAAGGGCGATGAAATCTTAACAAAAAAAATAAATAAATAAAATAATAATAATAATAACAATAACAATCTTCAATAGTAGGAAATAACGACTCAACATTGAATTTCAAGAACACCGTCAAACCTTCTTCAAGACCTTTTGAACTCCTTGAAGAAGGTTTGTTGTTATTCTGAACTAATAATAATAATAATAATTTATCACGTATCTCAAAAGTATTATGTTACGTAGAAGTTTATGTAATCGTTTTCGTGATGATTTTAAAATGTAGCAATAACTTTCCCGGGATCTCTTGTCATATTTTTTTTTTTTCTCGGAAAATGCTCGCGTCTAGTAATTTTGTAAATATTTACCAAGTTTCATCAAAATTAAAAAAAAGTCACGTTATAAAATGAAAAATGTATTTACAGTAAAGAAAATATAGTGGGAGACAGTTATATCCTATTGGTTATAACCGTCATGTGATAGTGTTTCATGGGCAAAGATAGTCAGTGACTTCTTACTAGGTCACATACCGAGAGTGAAAATCACGCGACCAGTTTTTACTTTTTTTATTTTTCCTTCCAGAGAGAACAGCTAGGTTATTAGTCTAGGTGAATGACCTTAAACGTTCAAATGTCGTATTTTAGTAAATGCGAATTCGTGATCCTTGTTTGTCCCACTTTCTCGAGTTTGTTTCCATCGATTGAGCAAACTTGCAAAAAACAAAGAAAAAACGCAAAAAAAACATTCATTGCTGTTTTTTTAATAGTCTGAAACGTCGTTCTAAAATTAAAACCGTTAAATTAATATAGCTTTTATAAAACGGAAATATATTCTATATTTAAACTAATTAAAACAAGAAACTTCCGCCATTTCAGTTACGGATCGAATTGAAGTTTTTTGATGGAAAAAGTTAATTACTTTGCGGTTTCTTCGCTTCAATAATAATGTCATTGAAGGCACAGAATGTACAGATCTTTGATAAAACATATCATTTTTTTTTTGTATTAAGATATATACTATACGTACTGTAAATTAAGGAAATTTCCACAAACCTCCATATTTATCTTCTCACCGGCTGAGAAAATAGTTTTTTTTCGTATCTAAATTACAGCATTTGGTAATTCTAGATTTTAGGATAAGAATAAGACGTAATTTTACGGTCGGATAACTTTTAATCGAAACAATGAATTGCAATTAATAATTATAAAGATTTTTTTAAAAACACTCTTTCCAATTATTACTATATAAAAACGTAAATTACATTTTAGAAATTAATTGAACTTCTTCTATAAAAAGATATTATTTTTTCCTGAAAATAGAGACGTCTTCATCCATAAAGTTTTGATTTTAAACATTATCTTTCATTAATTTGTATACGTTATTCGAAGAAGCATCATCCACTGTTACTTTTTTTTAAGAGTTTAATCGTTACGGGATAACACGAACAATTATATTAATGTACAAAAGTCTTGTTTGCACACTTTGAGAGATAAAAGCTGTATAAATTTCTGTCTTTTGTGATTTTCATCGAAATTTTCCTTCCTACGCAATTTCGATACTTAATGGTAATGCAATTAAGTTATCAAATGAGTATGATCTTAAATGTAAACTTCCACGGGGAACTCTCTATATATATAACTCAGACGAAGCACCGTTCTAAATCAAGGACGTTTGTGTTTTAAATATTTATCAACGTTATCCATCATGTGATCACTTTTAGGCCCTCACAGAGTTCAATGACGCCTAACGTAAAGAAAACCACTTTATCAAAAAATCAGCCATCTTTTTCAGATATTCTAGGAAATCAATCTTTTCCCCCTTTTCTTTTTCAAACTTTAAGCTACGAAATTTTTGCTTTCACAGAAAATTTATTAACATTTTCCAACGGATAACAATTTTACTTTCATTATGGTTAATATGTAGACTTTAATAAGTTTAAAAAATAAAGTGGGTAAATCCCTGATTTAAGAACTGGCAATACAACTAGTCAGCCAAGTCTTACGTAATGGTTATAATGTAAACATTCTAGTCTAGTCTAGTAATCAATTCACCACGTCATTAGTAGTAATTTTTATTCATTCATTAACATGTCGACTAGATTAAAAAAAAAAAAAAAATACTATCGTCGTCGTTTTCCTTTAGCTTAAGTCTATATATTTCATTAATAAATTTCTAAAAGTAAAATAATTATTCGAGTTTTGTTAACGCCATTTTTAGTTATGTAATTGAAATTTATAAATTTTAATTATTCGCGGTGTCGATTCAAGTCTTTTAATTGACAAATGTCACTTGACATGACTAAATTTAATGGCACGCCACACGACATAAAAATCTTTTCGTATTCATGTCTGGTACGGGGTCGAAACACGTGCTCGGATCACTGGTGCCTCTTTCAATAGATTCAGAAAGGCGTTTCTCTTAATTTCTACTTTCCTCTTTATATGTATCTAATAAGTACGAAACTAAAAATAAGTTTATATAATAGATACCGATCATTTTAATTATTATATGGAATGTTGCTACGCCGATGTTTCGAAGAAACTCAAACAGGTTGTTTAATACATTGTTTTACACCCCTTTAACAGCCTAGCAACCGATCAGTTTTCTATAACTGCGTAATACAGTAGAGGCCCCCTATCCCCTGGTCCGTCTAGTCAATGACTGACACGCAGTTTTCCTGGCATTTATTTTGACTCGCAACTAAACTGAGAAATTAAGCTTCCTCTAAACAATGTCCCTCTCGTTTTCTTTTTTACTTTCGACGAAAGACTATTACATTTTGAGACTAGTATAGATAAGACGTGTGTATATATTGGCGCGATTCTTAACGGCGTTTAGGTACAGCGATTGTGTATATTTTGCGCTTGGAGTAACACGTCAGCGAGAGGCCGTGCTACCGATTCTCTACGATAGGTTAACGACTCTAGAATGTCCTTGACGTTCCCGACAGACAGGTGGATTGGATGGAACGGCTGTCGAACTGGGTCACAACACGGTCATTGACCAAGCGCGTTAACTTTTTCCATAAAGGGATTGTTTGATAAAATTTCGAAAATATATTTATATAGGATAGCTTTGTCCGTGTAATTTTTTTAGTTGTTTACAAGGTTAAACATTAATCCCTCTACCTCTACGGTGTTGTCTTTTTTAAAATTTCAGAATTAAATTTACTAAATAATGCATCAAGTAAGTAAACAAGTCGTTTGTTTTCATCTTAAAAAAAACGATTTATCATTATATTCTCCGAAAATATAACTTATTTTGTATGCGTATATAAATTGATTTTTAATAAATACGAATACTTATTTTCTGAAAAATTTCAAAATGAAAAACGCTGGTCACCACACTGAAATCATAACAAATTTGGAAAAGCCTTTTAAAACAGTTCTTGAAAGAAAATGAAATATTAAAGAAAAATTAATATAAACTTCATTTAAAAAAGAAAAATAATAATAATAATTAAATAAAATGGGATATTCAATATTTTATTTATTTACAAAAGAAAAATATCCTTTCAAACAAGTTTTACAATGAATGCTGTAACTTCTTGTCAAGACTAATTTCAAGTTAATTAAAATGCAAATTCAGTACTGTGTTAATAATAGCTATTAAATTGATAAATACAGTATATAACATACATATATATTTTTGTATAAAAGATTTTATTTATTAGCTATTACACAAACTATTTATTTTAAAACAAGATTTTTCAATGTTTGGTAAGGTAACACTTTCTTCTCATTTTAAATGGATTCCAAAATTAACATAAGTACATTTTTTGTCAGTAATAATTAAACCAGTGAAACACCGAGAGTCACCAACAGATGTACTTACATAAAATAAATGTCTGTGTGCAATTTTTCTACTACAAAATGATACCGATACAATTTACAAATTAAATATCAGACCTACATAGGTACAAACAGCATAAATAGTGAGAGACAATTTCTTTCAAATTGGCACACAATTTCGTAGATTTCCTGTTACAATTTTGCATAACCAAATTTTAAAATGAAAATTTTATGATAGGTTACATGGTATGTATTACATATTCTGACTGATTTTATGATTAAAAACAAAGGGGGAGAAATGCTTTTATGTAGCAAAAAACGAATGAGATGTAAAAGTGTAGTGCACTTAAGTGCCTTCATTATCAAGTTATTTGCATGTCAATATCCATGCAAAAATTATTCTATGTAAGTAACAATGAAAAACACTATGACAGAAATGATGACAATCATTTGGGTGCTGTTGGGGGATAAATATTACTTGTATGTGATGTATAGCCAAGTCCTACTCCTCTGTGTGTATGTGTAGACATCCTTGCCATTTCATACTGTTGATCCAAGTCACGAAATAAGGCCTCTTGTTTCTTCACTACATCATCCGGTGCGGAAGGCTTTTCTTTCTCTTTTTCTTCTTCCTGGGCATTCTCTGAAGGATTTCCTTCTGCTTTGATTCCCATTAATTTACGAAATTTTGCTGTCATTTTGCCATCTTGATCTTGAGCAAATGTCATATTTTCCCAAAGTGATGCTGAAGATGGTTTTGATTGCTGAGAAAACAAATATAAAAATAAACAATATTTTCTTTGAAAAGAAAAACAATTTATTCTATATAAAATGTATATTCACCTCTGGTTTTTCCTTGTTTGCTTGCCAAAGTAGTTTTCTTTTTTGAACTTGTTCTGCATATTTCAATGGATTAACTGCAGCTGGATTATAATATTTTGGTAAAGAGATACCAGTTAAAGCCTGAGCTTTAGCACTCATTGCAGCCATAGCCTGCTGTAAAACAATCTGCGGAGTCATAACACTCGCTGCAGTAACATTTAAAGGAAGATTACTGGGCTTCTCTAGGGAACTAGCATCTACAAAAACAGAAATTAAAAACAGTATTAAAATAAAATTATTACTTAAATATCTTACTTATTTTCATTTTGTTATTGGAAGTAAAAACAAATGAATTTTCATAATTTAAAATCTCTAGTTAACATACTTGAGTGCTTGCTGTTCTCTCAATTAGTTGTATGTTCTTTGGAACTTAGCATAAAGTTACTATTGAGAACAAATCATACAGGAACACTCCTCTTGATAGAAAAAGTAATTTTTATTTTCTATAATTTACAATGGACATGCATTTCAGGCTTATTTCATTATTTTCAGTCCTTATTTTATTATGCATATCGATAAAACTAAAAATAATTATAGTGACAACTGGAATAACTAATTATTAAAACCATTGGTAGAACAAAAACTGTAAAATAAAATATTTTTGACTAAAAAAAGTAATAAAAACATAAAAACTTTAAAACCAATAAAACCTGGTTAAAAACAAGTTTTTACTGGTTTTAAAGTTTACAGATATATGTAACAGCCTGAAATGCATATCCGTTGTAAATTATAAAAAATGAAAATCTACTTTTTCCATCAAGAGGAATGTTTCTGTATGATCTGTTTTCAATAGTAACTTTATGCTAAGTTCCAAACAACATACAATCTCTAGTTAAAGTTTTAACTCATCCTTATTCAAAATTGACATAATTAAAGATGCTAATTTCAAATATTGGTAAAGATTTAATATATCAATGTTCTGATAATAATATAAGAATTTCAAATGTTAATATATTATTAACTAATTTAGATAGTATCTGAAAGATTTTCTTGGAATTATATTAAACTCTATTCTAAATTCTATAAAAATTATATCATTTTAGTACTTAATAGAAGTTATTAACTTTATCTTGACTTAAGAATTGTTTGACATAGCACAAAATAATTTATTATTATTTAATTAAAATTTAAAATGAATTCTTATAAATTGTTCAGAAATAAAAAAAATAAAATTCCTGTATGCTCTGTAAAGATAAATTTTTATTTCTACAAAATCTATTTTTACTGGATAATAATTTTTAAATATGTAGTGGAAGCTTCAGTATATTATCTGCATTCATTTCTAAACTCTTTTTAAATAATAAACTATGCACATCTGCACAATAATTTATAAACATGATAAACAATAGCTATGTGCATATTCTATAGACTAATTCTTTCATTTTCAAACTTTTTTCATTGAAATTTATATCACTAATAAAAAAAGCTATCATTAAATTTTACCAATTCTAGCAAATTTTATTTGATTGTTGTATAATAGTAAACACTATGCAGATATTAAATGATTTAATAATCACAAAAATAATAGTATTAATGCAATGGATCTGATGAAAAAATGTTACATATACAAATTACAATCTGACTGGTATATTGACTCTTTGGTGTATAAGAGAGCCAAAAGGAATCTCTTTTCCTGTATGACAACAATATGATGATAACAGCTATTGTTTGGAATAAACAAATACATTAAATGCATGTACATGTGTGTGTATAAGTTGATAATTTATGGTAAAATCATTATATTTTCATTCTGTTACTTTCTTTCAAATTTCATTCTATTTCAGGACCCACTAGCTTTGGGGATTTGGTACAATGCATGCAATGCACCTCTCATTTTCACAGTCCTGTTCATAAAAAGCATTAGTAATAAGTAGACAGCGGATTTTAGGCAAATGCCTATTTTTTTCCTTGGCATATAAATGGCTAAGATTTTGTATGAACACTTTTCATGAACATTTAGACTGAAATAATGGTATTTTATAATGCCTAAAAATGCTTATTTTGACGTTGCTGCCTATTTTTGCCTAAAACAGTGTTCCGCAACCGGTGTGCCGTCACATAGGTGAAGGGTGATGTAAACTTTTGCATATTCTATTAATTTCAAGTTTTATTTATATATTTTTATCACAGTTGCTGTGTTTTTTATGCTTGTATTTCATTCTCTGCCGCAGCAACGATGAAATAAGATGATGTTTGTTTATTCTTTATTACAAGCCACGCATTTTTATGTATTCTAAGAAATTTAATGTAAAATAAATTTGCTTACAGGTGTTGGTCTGTTTAATAATAATAATAATAATAATAATAATAATAGGTTCGTGGCATTATGTAATTCTATTAATAGTATCATATCATACGTTTTTGAGGAAAATAACATTTTGGTGTGCCGTGTTGAGTCATAGGTGTGCCGCAAGAAGAAAAAGGTTGCGGAACACTGGCCTAAAACACAAAGTTTAGTCTGTTTTCATATTTTTAGAAAGTATTTATTAATTTTTTGTTTTATTTTCTGCAAAGGTTTACTTTAATTCTTAAATTAAACTTAAGTTTCATTTTTTCTGAAAATGCAATCAGACAAATTCATTTTTTTATTATTATTAATTACTTATACAGTATTTAAGTCCCAGTGAATGCATATCCCAAGATGAAAAAATTAGAATGCAATAATAACGGAAATAAATTACACCCCCTGATGTAATTTTATATTAATAAAATTAAAACTATATGAAATATTTGAAACTAAATTGTTTTATTTAACAAATATAGCATTAGAGATGCTTTATTTGTCATTTTTAGACAGCGGATTTTAGGCAAATGCCTATTTTATCCTTAGCATATACATGGCTAAGATTTTGTACTAACTACTACAGTGAACATTTCTTCAATATCAAAAAACTTCTGGCCACTTTAGCAGACAATGCAATTTGTGTAACTAAGGCCAAGAAAATTTTGAATGACATTTATGTTCAGAACAAGTTGATGTACTGTACATCAAGTGTTATTTCACATTCATTGCAGATACTATTACTGCTCTTGAAAGTAGTGGGAAACCTATATATGAACAAATTGATCTCCTCAACAGAGCAAACCAGAAACTTTGTGATGCACCAGGCACTGCTGCAAAAAAAGTGAAGAAAGAGTTGAAAGCAGTGCTTCAAAAGAGACTTGGATTAAAGTGCTTGTTTATTGTGGCTGATATTTTGGAGGAAAAGAAGAGCAAAACTGAAAGTAAATTCCCAGTTCATTTTCTTCCAAGATTGAAATATTGTAATAATCCAAGAAAAGAGCATATAAATTAATTTTCAGTGATAAATGTTGCAACTTTTCTATTGAAAATTTGGAAAAAGTGCTTGTAATATATTATGAAGCTAACTATGAGAAACAGAGCGAATAAAAAATGTAAAGATAATTGTTTGTCTACATTTGCGTTTGCATCATTCTGAATATGTGCATTTTTGTTTGGAATACATATGTTAAATAAAAAAAATTCATCATCCTGATAAGTACGTTAATTGTTCATTGTGTGAATTTTGACCGCCTATTTTTTGTTTATAAAGCCTAAACGACGCAATTTAAGAGCTTATTTTAAGCGCCTAAAACGCCACTTTTAAGGGCCTATAGGTCCACTGTCTAGTAATAAGCTATGATGCTTCTATTCTCATAAATATCCATCTTCACTTCATTGTGTATTTTAACTTAACAGAATACAATTTTACCAAGTAGTGTGATACTAAATGAAAATGCAATAAAGAAATACAGGAAATTCTCAATTAATTCTAACTATGATAGTTCAAAATCCTATTAGCTCGAAATACAGCTACTTCAAAATTTGAAGTGAAAATTCTGTCCAAACTGTGATAAGAGTATGTTAACTCGTTCGTTTAGATTGAAATGTCTCCATGCTATAAGAGAACAACAGACCATGAATAACCCTAATCTGTTCAATATGGCTTTTCGCTTACAGAGCACAATTTCAGATGTAACTTTACCCATGGACTACCCTTTTTTCTCTTATCTTATAAAATATGGCTGTTTTCGGGATAGCAAGATTGGGCTGCAAGTAGCAGATTGAGATATTTGTGGAGCTCTAGGCTATTACATTTGGGCAACTTTCTACTTCTTGGGCCACTTTAAAAATAATTTGGGGTACATTTTGAAGAAGTCTGCTTTATTTGTTATAAAACCTATCTGGCAACCTGTGAGGTTCTCACCAGATGTGCTGTTTACCTGCAGTTTAGTTTTAGTAAAAATAAGTAATAAGAAAATGAAACAAATATCTTATTCCAAGAAATCTATCTCTAATATATTGACCTAAAAGATTGCTGATTTAGCAAAAAATTTGCTCAATCTAGCTTCTCTGAAACATTGTGTAGCCACTAGATCATGTTTCTCTAAAATTTTGCATCACAGATTTAAAAAGGGTGCTCACCCTGACCTAGAACATTCTCTAAATTTATGATGATGTATAGCAGGGGGCTTCAACTTTTTCTAAGAGCCATGTCAGATGTAAAAAAAGTCTGAGACCAGATATGAAAGATATAGTCAAAGATTAAGATTTTTTTTATTTCTGAACAACAGATATAAATCAATGTAAAATTTGCAACTGCTTTGGTGAGAGAATGTCATCAAAATTAAGGATAAATTTTGTGGCACTCAATATTAAAATCATTTTTTGATATTTGTTTACAGTTGAAGTTTGATATTTTGATTTTATATCTTTTATTTTCAAAAAGTCTGTTCACGAAGGTATGTAAAAGCAAATTAGAAAATACTGTATTCCCTGTGCAAACTTCTTAAGCCTTAAAATTCTCTTCTGATGAGATTTATAAGAATTTACAAATTCCTTCTTTAATTAAGTTTTCATAAAAAATCATTTACACCAAGGTCTATCAATTCTAGTTGACTATTCAAAAGTTTATATGCTCTGAACTAGTTCAAATGCTGATGATAAAATATATCAGGCCATACTTGGAGACTCCAATGTACAGTACTAAATTGTAAATTCTTTAATTCTTCAGAAATTTAAACATTTTTTAATGTTAATCTTAATTTCATGAAGACTGACCAAGCAAAAAATTTTTATAGTATTTCATTAAAAATTTGTGAATAAATAAATACTATTACATTATGATGTAACAATAAATAAAAGTAACAATTTACTGAAGTTAATTTTTTGTTTGTTCATTTCTGTTAAGAGTAC